CCCCAGCCCCAGATATTCTTAAATCTGTAGCTGGAGTGGGGTTCAGCAGTATGCATTTTAAACAGGCACCTGGGTAATTAAGATGCAGGTTCTCCTTGACCTATACTTTAAGAAACATTGACATAGAAGTTGTAGGCAAATCCAGTTTCTGAAGAGTGACTATTTTGAGACAATTGAGAATTGATTTGAATGGAAGGGAATGGCCCAGACTTGAAGTTCTTGGGTCATTTCTATCTCTGCTTCCCCTGCTTTCTACTGAACTTGCAGTTTTGCTAGGTGGAATTCCTTCATTTGACACTATTCAATATATATTGAATGCCAAGCACTGCTAGGCCTTGGAGATAGTGGGAAATAAGATAGAGAAATTCCTTGTTCTCATCCTAGTGGATGAGATCCAATCGATAGAGGCCCAATCCTCCCTAATGTCTGTGCACTGGGCTTAAGCTTTGGATGCAGTATCCTTCCTCCTTGACCTGTTTATGTGAGGTTCCTTTTGCTCGTTATCTGGCCATGAATAAAGTGAAGAAGATGAAACGCTATCATGTTGGAAAGGTGTGGCGGCGGGAGAGCCCAACCATAGTCCAAGGCCGCTACAGGGAGTTCTGCCAGTGTGTAAGTGACCTGATAGAGGCAGCATAGTTTGATGGTTCTGAGGGCCACAACCTAGGAACTGGCTGATCAGTGGAGATTTTTTTTTTCCTGTCTTTTTCTTTGCTGTAGGATTTTGACATTGCTGGTCAATTTGACCCTATGATCCCTGATGCAGAGTGTTTGAAGATCATGTGTGAAATCCTAAGTGGGTTGCAGCTGGGGGACTTTCTCGTTAAGGTGAGGCCAGGGGGGCCAGCCCCATGGCTTAGCGGTTAAGTGCACGCGCTCCGCTACTGGCGGCCCGGGTTCGGATCCCAGGCGCGCACCAACGCACCGCTTGTCTGGCCATGCTGTGGCGGCGTCCTACATACAGCAACTAGAAGGATGTGCAACTATGACATACAACTATCTACTAGGGCTTTGGGGAGAAAAAGGGAAAAAAAGGAGGAGGATTGGCAATAGATGTTAGTTCAGGGCAGGTCTTCCTCAGCAAAAAGAGGAGGATTGGCATGGATGTTAGCTCGGGGCTGATCTTCCTCACCAAAAAAAAAAAAGGTGAGGCCAGGGCTGAGGACTGAGAGGAGAAGTTTGGATTTGGCCTGATGCTGTCCCGCAACATAGGTGACCCCAGCCTTTAAGCCTGCAGCTCTAGGACTTTGTTAGTACAGCTGTTGCATTTCATATATATCTATATCTGTATACTCATTTTGTGAAATTTCCTTTTATCCCTTTTATGAGTCAGGAGAGTAGGGACTGCCATTGTTTTGAGGGGAAAGGGCACTGACAAGATGCTTGGGTGACTTCCATTGAGTTCACAGGTCAATGACCGGCGGATTTTGGATGGGATGTTTGCTGTCTGTGGTGTTCCTGAAAGCAAATTCCATGCCATCTGCTCCTCGATAGACAAACTAGACAAGGTAACAAAGAAGATACGCTTCAGTAGACCCTATCAGAGTTTCTGCCCTGTCCTCAAATCAATACCCCTAGAGAAAAATAAGGAGATGGTGGCTGAAAGCGAGCTATTTCTGGGAGGAAGATAAGGAGACATTCTGAAGCAAGACCTGAGTTTTGCTGTGCAGTGGGGATTGTGGCTGGACTTCCTAAGCTGCCTCTGGCTTTGCTTCCTTTGCTGAGTATAGTGTTAGCTACTCGTGACATACCTACTGAATGAAAGCGAGATGTCCTTTCCTGGTTAGACAAAGAAGGATCTTGGGGCAGGGCTAATGTGTGGGTGTTTGTGCAGATGTCTTGGAAAGATGTGAGACATGAGATGGTGGCAAAGAAAGGCTTGGCTCCTGAAGTGGCTGATCGAATTGGGGACTATGTCCAATGTCATGGTAAGAACCAGGGTTTTCAGTGCTATATGATAGAATCAGAGTAAGGGTGATATGTGTACAACTTCTGTCTCTGAAACAGCTCCTTTCTGTAGATTTGCTAAACTCCAGAGCCTGGCCTGAATTTAATTCCCCTTTTACTTATTGTAACCATTTTATATCTTCAGATGGCAAAGGTAGAGGCAGAAGAAAGTCTGGTCATATGAGATCAGGATCTTTTTTTTAAGAAAATGGGGAGGACTAGCTGGAGCACATGAGGGATAAATTTGGATGAAACACATCTGGGTGAATAGTACAGACCTTATCTCTCCTCATGTGTCTCTTCAGGTGGGGTATCCTTGGTAGAGCAGATGTTCCAGGATCCCAGACTATCCCAGAACAAGCAGGCCCTAGAGGGCCTGGGGGACCTAAAGCTGCTATTTGAATACCTGACTTTATTAGGAATTGCTGAGAAGGTAAGCTGAGTTAGGAGTGGACCTCTTACTGAGCTCGGGGGCTCTTAGGGTACTGAGTTTTGTCTGGGACTGACTATAGCCTTGTCTCTGTAGATCTCCTTTGACCTAAGTCTGGCTCGGGGCCTGGACTACTATACAGGAGTGATCTATGAAGCAGTGCTGCTGCCAACCCCAGCTCAGACTGAGGAAGAGCCCCTGAATGTGGGCAGTGTGGCTGCTGGTGGGCGCTATGATGGACTGGTGGGCATGTTTGACCCCAAGGGCCACAAGGTGCCGTGTGTGGGGCTCAGCATTGGTGTAGAGCGGATCTTCTCCATTGTGGAGCAGAGGATGAAGGTAGGTCCTAGGTAAGGGTGAGGTGGGGCTGGAGGCCTAAAAACTCTCATGTTTCTGGAAGTGCAGTTGGACTTTTTCTGATGATTCTTTTTGTCTTGTTTTTTGGAATTACCTGGTGCAAAGGAATTTTTTAGTTTTACTTTCTTTGCTCTTTTTTATCAGACTTTTGGTGAGAAGATACGGACCACAGAGACCCAAGTGTTTGTGGCCTCACCACAGAAGAACTTTCTCCAAGAACGATTGAAGCTAATTGCAGAGCTTTGGGATGCTGGGATCAAGGTATGGTGGAGCTGATATCCAAGCCATCTAGATATATGTGGAATTCAGGTGCCAGGCGCATTTCTACCTTATGCCTAGTGTGGAACTCAAGACCTTTCTAGTCTTCACTAGAGTGTCGTCTTAGGGTAGGAGGGCTAGCTACTTATTCTTCGGAAATGCTTGCTCCTGGGGTTTGAGTGGTGCGATCATTTCTGAGCCCCCTACTTTATCTTCACCCTTTTCAGGCAGAGCTGCTGTATAAGAATAACCCTAAACTACTAACCCAACTGCACTACTGTGAGAACATGGGCATTCCACTGGTGGTCATTATTGGTGAGCAAGAACTGAAGGAAGGGGTCGTCAAGCTCCGTTCAGTGGCCAGCAGGGAGGAGGTGAGTGGGGGCAGGCAGAAATAGAAGGGACCAACTGTTTCTGCCTTTCTTAGATTCTTTAAGAAATATGTGTCTTCTGGCTGAGGAAATATTTCCAGGGTTAATAGTAATAGAGCTGAATGAAGACCCACTCCAGGCAACCATTGTAGCCAAGGAGTATTGGCTGGGTGGACAGAAGAAGGACAAAAAAAAGTCAATGGGTATTTCGAGACTACTCAATGAAATAGACATAGATCAGGTGTTTGAATCCCTTTAGTCTTGAGGGCATACATTCTCCAGGTCAGCTTGAAGCCCACACTACTTCCTACTGGTTGCATAAGTAGTGGGAATAGATGCAGAGTAAAATGAATCTGGAAAAGCATGGCTAAGGAGCTAGTATCACTCTCTAGTTTGTCACATGAGGGTTCTCTTATGTTTCAGGTGGCCATTAAACGAGAAAATCTTGTGGCTGAAATTCAGAAGCGACTATCTGAGTCTTGATCCTTGCCTCATTGCCATCTGCTGATCTTTGTAGAAAGCGTTTCATCTAGGACTGAGTTCCTGATGGACTTTACAACTGCTGGCCAGGATGGGTGACAAGTGCCTCTGCCTCCCATCCTACCTGGGTACAGAACTGTAGAAGATCCTGAGGACTCCTGGGCTAGTGTGAGCAGCTGTTCTGCCTGGGCGCAGATGGCTGGTATGTGAAAAGAGACATGCTCTAACTGCAGAGGCTGATGGCAGATTTGAAGTGCCATTGAATGCTGCCAAGAGGTGCTGAGATGGTTGCTGTGAGCAAAGCTCTGGGAAGGTCGCCTCAGGCTGAGAGGATTCTGAACCATTGTGATCAGATGTCAGATACTTAGCTTTCCACCGTGGCTTCTGAACCAGATTCTGGGGAATTTCTCCACAACCTGCCCTTGGCCTGTCCAGGGAGTTTTGTGGGAGACAGGAAGCAGGGGTAATGGCTACTTTCTGTTTTGAGGACAGAGATGGTATCCCAAGGGCATAGCAGTGCTGCCCATATTGATGTGGCATCTCTCTAGCCCATCCACTGTTTGCAGTAGCAGGGTGAGGCTGCTTGTTTAATAATCTTGAATGTTGAACTTAATAGGTGACTTGACAAGATGGAGGTCTGATCTTTTGGGATCTTGGAGACCACTTCCTGTGCCAGAATCACTGCTCTGACTATTCCATGTCCTGCCATGGAGGTGGCTGTTCTAAAAGTGGTTGGATAATATATTTAATAAAATATTAAATGTGGTAGTTTGGGTAATTTGTTATGAAGGGACTCGTTTGCATAGACCATAGAAAACGCTTGACTGTACACTGGAGAATTCTAACTGTGAGCTAGGAGTAACCTCCTTGGGGGTGATGCTTCTGTATTCAGTGAAGAGAGCAGCCACTGTTCCCACTGTGCCTTGCCCCTCCTTCCCCCCCCACAGCCTTGTCAGTAAATCAACATATAGTGAGCCATCCACTGGAGTTCTTCACCCTAGAGTTGCTGATGACCGGTCCTCCCAAATCCAATCATGTTGATTAAATTGTGCCCTATAGATTGAATAACTATAAGGTTTCTCAGTTGAAGGAAAAAGAGTTAACCAAAGGGTGATAGCATTGTTTCAAGATAAGGAGAAGGTGCGAAAAGCACTTTCCGTATGTACATTGGGAAGGCGGCAGTCTTTGCAAACAGTTCAGTGTTGTGGGGCCATATCGTTAGTGCATACAGGTAAATGGGGCATTTAGAGCCCCTAATAACAGCGCTTCAGCCTTAAAAAAGGTTTAGAAACTTCGCAATGTACACAAAGTTCATTAGGTTAGGTTACAAGGCACTGATCTGAACCTCAGTTCCCTCGTTTGTAAAACAGACGAGTTGAACTAAATGTATCAGCCCTTCGATGGTTATTTTGAAAGCGGGGGTAAAAAACGTTTGTAGATGCCCTTACTTCCGTATTGCTTCATAATCTCCGTGCGCGTGCGCCATTTCCTTGGAGCAGAGGCGGGGCGGACAAGCCTGTTTTTTGAACCCTTCCAATACTTAGCTCGTTTAGAACACGGGACTCGAAGCTTATTGGAGGGCAAGCTTGCTTTACGGCTCAAGGCTGCTTTTTACGGCATTTTTCGACTGCCCATTCACTTCGCAGTGAAGATGGCGTCGGGCAGCGGGGTAGGTGTTGTGTGTGAGAAGCAGGCTTTGGGGTGGATAGGGGGTGGCTTCTCAGCGCGGAATATCCTGGACCCAACTGGCTTCCCGACACCTCTTTGCGATCCAGTGGCCTGAGTTTAAGAGCTCCCCCGTAAGGCCCTGGCGCAGGGTCAGTGGCATCGCGGAGGTCTCTTGGGTTGGGGTCCCGAGACCACCCCAGTGTCCTGGTGCGGTCCGGAAAGGCTTCGCTTTTGACAGGTCCCGGGGCCGCCTTGGCGGCGAGGACGCGGTTCCTTCTGTTTGTCTAGGGGTCGAACAGGATTGGTGACGACGCCTGAGCGCTTTTTTCCCCACAGACAAAAAACTTGGACTTTCGCCGAAAGTGGGACAAAGATGAATATGAGAAGCTCGCCGAGAAGAGGCTCACGGAAGAGAGAGAAAAGAAGGATGGTGAGTGCCTGCTCCATCAAGGGCTAAGGGTATCGTAGAGGCGATGCAGTGGCTGGAGAGCGGGTGTGGAGTTGAAATGCACTGCCCTCCTATTCTGTGTAGCCTCTGGCTGAGCGATGCCTCCCTGGTCCTCGATTTCTTCATGTATAAAGTGAGAGCGAGGAGGTGGACTGAAGTGGTTTTGAGGTGCTTTCTAGCTCTCTTTTCCTCTGCTTCCTTGTCCTCCCTTTGCTTGGCTCATTTAGTACTTTCCTGAAGTATAGAGAGGAGAGTGAAACCCTTAGTAGTGACAGAGAAGTTAAGTGGAGTAGTTTGCTGCTATTGAAGACCCCCTCTTTCCCTTGAAATTACTTAAGTGGCAGAAGAACATTCCTGGCCCAATCAAGACCTTCCCATATAGTCTGGGAAAAGCAAGGGTACTCACCAGGGAACGTGTGATTGTTTCAGCTAGTGCTTAGTAGTGCTGTTCTCCGTGCCTTGTACAATGTCAGGGAGTTGGTGCACCTCTCCTAGATAGAGATTCCACTGTACAGAAACAAATGTCTTATTTTCTCTTCTCTCTTCAAATGTGTCCATTCTTCTTCTGCTTTACTTCCACACCACCTTGCACATATTAACCCTTTTAGTTTTTATGTAACTTGTATAATAAAACAGGTATTTCCTAAATGTTGGTCCCCATTTTTAATTTTCCCCAGCTCTCAGAAGATTCCTTTCTTTGTTATGCTTGGGGTATCTGTCTGAAAGCATTACTAAGTGTTCTTGCTCTTCTTTTAAAAGGTGTTTTTTTGGTGAAAATTCAGAACTCCTCCCTTCAATTCAGTTAATCAATGTATAGAAAACATTGCCTTTAGACTTGTTGGATTTAAAGTGGAGAAAAGCTGTAGATAGTTAAGGATTGCTTATCATTTTTCCTGTGTTCAGATTCTCCCTAGCTGCTGCTAGAAAGTGCCTATTGTGTCCCTTGCTTCAAGTTTCAAAAAAAGAAATGAGGGTAGACCTCTGGATTTTGTGTTTCATACATCTTTTCCTTTCTAGTTAAGAAACTGTAATATTGAATGAACTTTCTTCCCCATTATATTTCAGGAAAACCAGTGCAGCCCGTCAAGCGGGAGCTTCTCCGGCATAGGGACTACAAGGTGGACTTGGAATCCAAGCTTGGGAAGACAATTGTCATTACCAAGACCACACCACAATCTGAGATGGGAGGGTGAGTGGCTTTTCATCTTTTTCTGCAGCCAGGAGTAGGTCTAATCAACTATCTGTGTTGGTTTTAGGAAGTGTTGAGGAAGATTCGTGGCCCCAGGATAACAATCTCGTTACCTGCAATTCCATCCTTAAGATTTATTTTTCTTTGTCCCCCAAGGTCTCAAGTTGACATAATAGTGTCTCTAGGAGGGGTCACTTTGTAGGCTTCTTCATATTAGTACTGTAACTACTTCTTAATATCTTAAAAGGGATTATTTGTTCTCCTACCAGAGGAGGAAATGAAGGAAAGGACTACTGAGGAGATTTCTAAGGGAGAAATTAGCTGGAAGTAGGATGGAGCCTAGGAGCTGTTGATGGTGAATAAAGAGGGTTGAGGTTCCAGACTGGCTGCAAAGGCTGTAGTTGTTTTGGATTGTCTGGTTGTGCACTGTCCTCCTAGATCAAGACTATAACTTATAGGAAGAAGGGTCCCACAAGAACTCCTCATCCTTTTGCCCACCACTACATCTCTGTCGAGTTAGGCTTTCCAGTAGGTGGGCAACACAGATAGCAATGAGTGACACTTCTCTGAACTGCTTAGTAGACCCACTGTTACCATTCTTCTCTGTATTAGTTATCTATTGGTAGGTAAATTAACAAATTAACCCAAAATTTAGCTGCATAAAAAAACAGCTCACAATTTCTGTGGGTAAAGATGGGAAAGGCTCACCTAGGTAGTTCTGGCTCAGGGTCTCACAAAGCCGCAGTCAAGATGTCTGCTGGGTCTGCATTCATCTGAGGTATAAGTGGGGCTGGAGTATCTGCTTCCAAGCTCTCTCAACGTGGCTATGGTTTGGAGGCCTCAGTTCTTCGCGCCATGGGCCTCTCCATAGTGCTGCTCACAACAAAGCAAGTGGCTTCCCCATAGCAGGTGATCCAAATGGACAGACTGAGAGAGAAGCCACATTTTTTTCTTATAACTTAATCTTAGAAGTGACATAGCATCACTTTGACATATCCTGTTGGTCACACAGACCAACCTTGGTACAAATTTGGAGGCAACTACACAGGGTAAGAATACCAGGAGGTTGGGGATAATTGTGGGGGCCATGTTGGAGGTTGGTTATCACACTCTTCCAAGAGCTAAGTCTTTATGGAAATGAGAAGTGCCTCTTCCTTCTGAAAAGAAAATTTACATGATTTTCTTGGGGCTGGCTCGGTGGCGAAGTGGTTAAGTTTGCGTGCTCCACTTCGGCGGCCCGGGATTTGCAGGTTCGGATCCCGAGCGTGGACCTACACAGCGCTTATCGAGCCACGCTGTGGCAGGCGTTTGACATATAAAGTAGAGGAAGATGGGCATGGATGTTAGCCCAGGGCCAATCTTCCTCAGGAAGAAGAGGAGGATTTGCAGTGGATGTTAGCTCAGGGCTAATCTTCCTCACCAAAAAAAAATGAGTTTCTTGGTTGAAAACCATAAGATCGTTACAACCAGATTTGACCCAAGTGCTGTTTCTTTCTGTTTGTTAGATATTACTGCAATGTCTGTGACTGTGTGGTGAAGGACTCCATCAACTTCCTGGATCACATTAATGGAAAGAAACGTAAGGTTTGGAGGTAGTTTGTGATTGGGGCTGGGATTGGGTTTGGAGGTGGGGTGGGGAAAGGGTGGTTTCTATTGGGCCCTTTTTTGAATGCCTGGGGAATTCTCCAGTTGCTTCAGCACCATCCTTCCTTTACTTCGTTATCTAATGATTTTGGAGGCCATGAGGTGAGACACTGTTCTAGGCTCTCAATAAGCCCAAACCATGGGCCCAGCTGTCCCCACTGGTATGCATCTGCTCAGAAAGGGTAGTTGAAAGCCACTTCTTGTTATTTGGGGCTGCTGCTTTTGGGAACAAGTAAAGCCAAGGGAGTTTATTTCAGCCATAATTATTTTTGCTGTGTGTTTTATGAAAAGATGTTTTTTAAAAATGTCAGGAAAAGATATTTTTTGAGGGGCTGAGGATGTTGTAATGACCTTACCTTCTTCACTGTTCATCTGGCCCAGATCAGCGAAACTTGGGCATGTCTATGCGTGTGGAACGTTCCACCTTGGATCAGGTGAAGAAACGTTTTGAAGTCAACAAAAAGAAAATGGAAGAGAAGCAGAAGGATTATGATTTTGAGGAAAGGATGAAAGAGCTCAGAGAAGAGGTAAGGCTCTACTATCCTTCCATCCTCCCTCCCCCAGCTTTGAGTTTTATGTTATGAATCATGGGGAGGCTCTCTTCCTCATTCCACTCCCACCCCAGAGGATAGTTGTATCTCCTGAATTTCCGTATATTAGGGGAAACATTTATTGCCCTTGTTTGGGACTTTTCATGATGTGAAGGAAATGGCTCTAAACCTGTCCTTTTTTCCTGGATTCTCTGGGCCGTACTTTTTTACTTCAAAAGGGATTAACTGGGGGCCGGCCCCGTGGCTTAGCGGTTAAGTGTGTGCGCTCTGCTGCTGGTGGCCCGGGTTTGGATCCCGGGCGTGCACCGATGCACCGCTTGTCAGGCCGTGGTGAGGTGGCGTCCCACATACAGTAACTAGAAGGATGTGCAGCTATGACATACAACTATCTACTGGGGCTTTGGGGAGAAAAAGGGAAAAAAAGGAGGAGGATTGGCAATAGATATTAGCTCAGGCCCAGTCTTCCTCAGCAAGAAGAAGAGGATTGGCATGGATGTTAGCTCAGGGCTGATCTTCCCCACAAAAAAAAGGGGGTGGGGGATTAACTAAATGCACCTAGTTCCCAAGAGGCCCGTGGAACCAGGCTGACTGGGTCATAATTCCATATCCTCCACTTACTGGCTTTGGATCTTGGCAAGTTATATGACCTCTCTGTGCCTTGGTTTCCCCATGTTAGAGATCTTAGTGTATACTATACTATACTGTACCACAATATGAAGCACTTAGACCAATTCCTGGCATGTACTACATGCTCCAGAATGTTAGTTGCTCTTATATGGTTTTGCTCCCATAACTTTGTTAAGAACTAGAGGTGAACTGGAATGTAGGATTGAGAAGTGCTCTCCACAAACTAAAACTTCTCTTTCTTGTCCCGTAAATCTTTACTGTGGCTTTTCCTCTGCTCTTGAAATTTTACTTGCCTTTAACTGTTTTTTCCTAAAGATAGAAAGGAATCTTGAAGCTCACCTGTCTCTTTCAACAACGTTTGGCTCAGGAGTCTGACCTGATTCTGAATGATTTCCCCCCCTAGGAGGAAAAGGCCAAAGCCTACAAGAAAGAGAAACAGAAGGAGAAGAAAAGGAGGGCTGAGGAGGACTTGACATTTGAGGAGGATGATGAGATGGCAGCTGTGATGGGCTTCTCTGGCTTTGGTTCCACCAAGAAGAGTTACTGAGGCTTTCTATGCTTGGCCTTTTGCTGGGCCTAACTTTGTGTGTGTGGGGGTCATTTTTTGGGGGGTACTTGGGAAAGTCCTTAAGAGTGACAATGGGGAGGGCTAGAGGGTGGGCATTTGTGGTTTCCCTCTACCTTGGGAGAGAGCACAGGATGCAGAGGTAATGCTGTGGCATATTTCTTCAGCCTCAGTATATCACTGGCGTCACAGGACCTCTGCCTACCTGAGTTCCCAATAAATAAAAGCCTCCTCTTCTGAGGCTGCTTTCCCAAAACTCCCCCTGCATCTTTCCTTTTTCATCTATCTAATCTCTTCTCTGAGCATCCTACATTTATCCTGTGTTCTGCTTTTGTTTTAATTTTGATTCTTGCTTAGCCTGCAGCAGAAGGGTTCTGAGTCCCCAGTTTCCGGTTGATAGCATATTCTTGACCAGCACCCCTTTCCCCAACCCCCCTGTGGTTCTCTGGCCACCTGTGCATGCATGTGTACTTCTGCCTGGGTCAGTGGTGTGTGCAGGTGTGTGTGCATGAATCTGTCACATAGAGGGAGCCTGAGCAAGAACCTCAGAGCATTGCTGCCTTGGGGCCTGATGTTCTTAGCTTCCTCAGAGCATGTAACAGGAAATTAAATGGGATGAGTGTTTGGTGTGGTTTTTGTCTGGTGAGTTTTTTAACTTTTGTTCTTCATATGTAAACTGTTCGGGTTTTCCTGTTTGTTTCATTTTATTGAGGATTACTCTGTTTTTGTCTTCCTTGTGAGCAGCCTCTTGGAAGAACCTGTTTGATGCAAAAAAAGAAAAAAAAAAAAACCTCACATGGGAGCCCTTGGGTCTCAGAGGCTGTTCAACCTATATAATAAATGGCATTGGCTGGGCCTATTTTACATTTGGTTGGGAACATTCCATATTCTTCTTTGTGTATTTTTTTTCCCACACTGAGGATTTCCATATAGAGCTTATTCTTCCTTCATTTGAGCCCTGTCACTTTTTTTTCTAGGTTCCTTCAGCATGAGTTGTATTTTCCTCTGATGAGATCTGTGTCTGGAGGAGTTGGAACAAAATTTTTCCTATAATAGCCTCCTTTGATCTTCTCTTTTTGGAACAGCAGAGCTCAGGGTTGAACTTAGTGTTTTCCTTACTATCTGCAGTTAAGCTAGGCATAGGGTTACTCACTGTTGGCACTGTTGACATTTGGGGCTGGATAATTCTTTGTGGGGCCTCCCTTGTGCATTGTAGGATGTACAGCAGTAACCCTAGCCTCCACTTACTAGATGCTAGTAGCACTCCCTCCCCAAGTTGTGACAACTAAAGATGTCTAGGTCCCCTGGAGGAGTGGGGGCAAAATCCGTCACCCCAGCCCCATTGAGAAGCTGCCTTCCCTACTTTGGTCTAACTTGAGAATTGGATGGGTGTCATAGACTGGTTAACTAAAGGAAAAACAACTTGGATATTCCCTGGATCAGGTACTGTGCCAGGTCCCACGGATGCAGAGGAGAAAAAATCAGTCCCTTAAATTAAAAAAACAAACAATAGTTATACAAATTTCAAGCAGGTGAATTCTGTAACAAGTTTAGCTGGTTCTGTACCCTGAAAAGCAGGCTCTATTTGGGTTAACAAGGCTGCCCCATATGGCTTGTGTACATTCTCTGCCTCTAGCCCCTCACATACACTTATGTAGCATCTGAACCATTTGTGGGTCCCCCAAAGTACCATACTCTTTCCTTTGGACTTTTATACAAAATTCCCTTGCTGTCAGGCATGCCTTTTGCTTAATTTCTTTTGCTTAATTTATTTCTGATGCTGAATCTTGCCACTGGGAACACTGAATGTGTTTTTATCTACTGATTCAAGGCCTGGCTCAAAGTTGCACATGTAGTATTTTTTTGGCCGGTTGTGGGCAGATTAGTGGGTGCTCTCCTTGACAGTATTATGTGCTCTAGAGGTCCTTGGGTTAAGAATCTACCCTACAAATCTACTCTACTAAGAATCTAACCTATCCAGTTGGCTGGGTCCTTTTGCTCCCCCTTTTAAGGCAGGCTGGAGGAGGTATCAGTGAGCTGAGTTCCTTCCATGGTTCAGTATTCATTCTTCAGGAAACTAATTCAGCTTGGCTTCAAATGGTTTTCCTCCCTCTTTGGTACAGTGGAATCTTACCTCTGGTCACCTCTACCTAAAAGCAATTCTGAATTCCTAAGGTTCTCTAAATTCTCTTGGGACTGGCAAGTGGTTTGTGTCTCCAAGGGGCTCGTGTAGGTCCTGGGTGTTTAGAGGGGCTCAAGGTGGTGACTTGGAAAAGGAGAGGAAGGAGATAGGATGGAAATTTAGGAACCCAGAGCAATCCCAGATAACTCAGAAATCTCTGGAAGAGAAGCTTTAATGTTTGTGGTCTTTCAAGATGCATAGAAATTTTGCATTCTGGTTGAGGAATATGCCTGTGACTGGCCTACATGTGTTCATTTATTCAGTGAGTGCTGAGATGCTGAGCATGTTCTAGGCCCTGGTAGTCTCCTATGGGGCAAGGCATCAAGGCCCCAACTGTCATGGAATTTACATTCTGGTGGAACTACCATTTAAAGTCCTTAGGGATAAAAAGATCCGTATGGCTTCAGATGATTCTGTGGCTTCAGGCACCCCCAGGGCCTCTTGCATCTCTCCCATAACCCCCTCCAAAAATTTAAATGTGAAAACTCTTTACTCCAGCAGTTCTGCTCATAAGTATCTATCTTAAAATCATACTTGGGTATGTGTATATATATATGTACAAGGATGTTTCCTGCAACTTTGTTTATAACAGTGAAACATTTAAAATAAAACTGGTACATTTATACTTGAATATAATGCAGCCGTTACAATGTATATGAATTAGATCTGTGTGTACTGACAAGATCTCCAAGACATACTGTTAAGTAAACAAACACAAAAACAATACCCAACAAACCGATCCCAACAAGCCCCCCCAAATATCATAAAACTATAATTTGTTTACAGTTAAATATATAGATTGAGGAAAAGGACGGGAGGGATACACACTGAAATTGTAACAGTGATTAACTGGAGAAAAGTAGGAATTGTGGGAAGAGAAAGGTCGGCTGTTTACAGTACACACAAAAGGAATAGAGTGTTCGTGTAGGGTTTAAAATAATTTTTAAAAATAATAACAGAAGTAATACTATATAGCACCTGGGAACTATACAACACCTGAGAGAGAAACTGTGGGGTTTACCTGGTTTAGCTGCAAAGTTCCAAGACAAGGCCTGAAGTACAAGTTGCAGCTTGTAAAGATTCCACTCTCCTGCCTCAGGCACTGTCTGCAAGTTGGTTTGATCAGAGTGACCCTGTGGTTGTCGAGCCAGCGCAGAGGCTAGAGGGGGCGTCCAAAGATTTGTGATGGACCAGGTGACCCCCGCGGTAGGAGAGAATATGCCCGGAAGCTACTGCGGAAGATCTCATCGGGGTAGAGGAGACCTGGGTCCTTCTCACTGCTGTATATCCTCAGATGGGCAGTCTCCAGGTGTCTTGACGAGGGTGGGGGGTGGATCGGACAGTTTCTAGGAGGCTAAGTCATCCTGGATCTTTCTTGCCCTGGTTGATTTATTGTGACGCACGTCTTTCTCGCCAGTCGAGATAATATAATATAGAGGGTGTCCCCGGACTTAGCTCAGCGGCTCCTTGGACTAAGGCATCACCTTCTAACCACTCCTGCGAGGTGGTTCAGACCCGTGGGTGCTCTTCAGTTCTGCGGCTGTCCCAGCTTTCTTCATTTTCCCAGTAATCACCCTCGGAGAGAGCGTCTTTTGAGACTGCTCTCCTGCCCAGAGCACCAAAGCGACCAGGTTTCCAGCGGACGTTCCAGCGGACCGGGTTTCAAAGCGACGAGGAACCAGGGCTCCTTGGAGAAATGGCTGATGCAAGGATTGGGGCAGGAAATACAGAGATAAATCTGGGGCATCTTGTAGTGCCAGAAAGTAAGGAAGTGCTAAAACAAAAACAAAAAACCAACCCAAAACAAACAAACAAAAAACTTACTTTTAAAATTACTTTTGGCATTTAGTAATGTTTATGGTTTTGTTACAATAGTTGCCGTTATACTTGTATCTTTTTTAATGTTCTCAAATTCCTTTTCCTTGGAGTATTATTTCGTTTGTCAGCTATATCTTGACTCTCTCTTATTACTTATATAACAATCATTTTATTCTATTTTTCCCTTTCTCTACTCCCTTCCATTTTTTGTCATGTTGTTTTTAGAAAACAAAATTGTTATATTATTTTTCCACCCTTGTAACCACCTTTATTTTGTTGCACATCTACAACTTAATATATTTAATGCTCATCATCATGATGCTTTCTGAATTTTGCCCTAGTTAGTTCTTAGTTGAATGAAGCTCATTCTCTAGTAAATTCCTCAAGGGAGACTCCTGAGTACAGTATTCTGAGTTCTTACATATTTAAAACTGATTTAATTTTATAGCCTTAGTACTTGAAAGACAGATTGCCTGGATAGAAAATCTTGGTTCACACTTCTTTTCCTTGAGTTTTAAAAAACTTCTTTGCTGCCTTTCTTTGCATGTTGTTGTGAAACCTGATACCAACCTGATTTTCTTTCCTTCCTAAATGATGTGGACTTTTTGCCTGATGCCCAGAGAATTTTTTCTTTCAAATTTAATTGATTTTCTAATAGATACCTCAGAGTTGACCATTCTATATCAATTTTCCTGGGTTCTTGGAAGACCTTTTCAATGTGTAGATTCAAGTTTTATTTCCAGAAAGTTTTCTTAGATTATAATTTTGAATATTACATCTGTTTCACTATTTTTGTTTTTCTTCTTCCGGAACTATAATATGTGTTGGATCTTCTTTGTCTCTGTATCTAGCACTTTCTCTATGATTTTTCTTACTGCTGTTTATTTTATTTTATTTTTATTTTCTTGGCTCTTTTAGTTCCTTTCCTCAATACCAGTTATTATATTTTAAGTAAAATCTCTCCCCCTTGGATATCTAATAGTCCTTTTTTTTTTTTTTTTTTTCTGAGATGATTTGTCTGTTTCTTCAATTTCTCCTGATTTTTGAGTAGGTCTTGTCTTACATCTTTTTGTTTTTTTGTCCATTTCTGTTCTGAGTTATTTTTTGATTCACAGTATATTCCCATATCACAAAATGACTGTAGGTTTATTTAACTCAGGTTGGAATGTTGTTTTTCAGTTTTCCTGTTTCATGGTTAGTTTTTTAAAAAATATTGATTCTCATTTTTTGTTGTCTTTATGTAATATTATGCCTGCGACTTTCTGTCTGTTTTGAAATGTCTTTATTTTCCAGTTTCAGCAATTTTAATTGAAACAGGCATTTATCAGCTTTCTTAGTTTAAGAGTGCCCTCTTCTGTTGGTCAAACAAAGTACATTTTTTCCAAATAGAAGGCTTTTTAGGGGGTGGGGGTGGGGGTGGGGATGAAGCCCATGTTGATGTGTCTTATGATTTTGTGATTGTCTTTCATTTCTGTGGTAGTCTTCATTTTCACAGCTTGCTTCCTTCTTTCTCTTCACCATCAAGCCTTCAAGGGATTCCTCCCCTTCAAGTCACCTCTTTTCCTCCAGATGAGATACCTTCCCAAGATTACCATTTCTGGTCTCAAACACTTTCAAGCTCTTCTTTTTAGAGTCCTCAATTCCTTTCATCCACCAGGTCTCAGACCTTTTGTCAGCATTTCTCCACTCAAGCTGAGACTCTCTTTTTCTGGTGGTGATTTTATCTGTCTTCCACCGTTGCTAGCCCCTGCTGCTCTCTAGTTTTTTCTATAAAGTTGGTCTCTCTTCTATAGCATAGTTTTATAACTGGATCTGCTAGTTTGGTATGTAAAATGAAGTTTATAATATTTTCGGTCTCCAAATTATGCTGTAGCCATAGGTGGTTTT